GTGGCTTGTGGGTCGTCCATAAATGACGTCACACTCCTAGGGGGGAGGAGGGTCGGTAATTTGTGACGTTGAGTGATTATTAAAAAAAAAGCAATGTTAGAAAATGAGTTTTAGCCTTGTTTTCCTGTTTTAGAAAACGGTTTTAATAATTGTAATAGGAATTGATCAAAATACTCTATATTGACTGAGTTATGACAAGATTTTTGAAAAATATCGATGTTTAAAGAAAAATTTAACAGCACTTTTGAGGGGGGGGGGGGTTGTAGACTGAGGTGTGACGTCATTTTAGGACGGAGGGGAGGGAGGTAAAAATAGTCCAAAAAGCGTTATGTCATTCATGGATGACCCCTTGATTTTTTTTTGTTTACATGAAAGTGTCACGTCTTGTTGACAAGTTAAATTCTATTTTAGTTACCAAAGTGAAGAAACTATATTTTGTGTATGTCACAGTAGCGCATTAGCTCGTTTCGGTTTTAGCTTATATTTAACCATGGAAAATCTTAGGGTCGAAACTGTTAGGGTCGAAACTGTTTTCATTTCTCTTTCTTTGAGTTTATCTCTAAAGCTTTGTATTAAATAACCCATGGATATATTTAATAGCATTGTTTAAAATAACGCCTTATTCAAAAGTCTTTATTAACCCAAACCCTGCTAAAGTCTCACTTATGGGATGCTTTAATCATTAGGTCATGTAAGCAACATATGGAAATACTGTTCAACTCTCTTCATACAAGGGATCTCAAGCCAGTGTTTCTTCCACACTTTTTTCTCCGGGATCCCTGGAAGAAACACTAGCTCAAGCTATATATAGCAGAAATGAGACTTAGCGCTGTACTGTTGCCAGAGTTTCTTCCAGGCATCTCTTCGCCCCCCGAAAAATTTTTACCGCCCCCCGAACGAAATGAAATTTATATAATTTATATAGAAAATATATACTTTTAACAGTGTCCGCCCCCCCGAAGAAAGTTTACCGCCCCCACGAAGATTTCAAGTGCCCCCCCCCCGGAGAAAAAAGTCTGGAAGAAACACTGACTGTTGCTATGCCTAATAACATTCCCCTCCAAAAGTTCTCCATACCAGTTTTAATTTGTTAATTTTTAAGACACTTTTTATGGACATTGGTGGTGCTAGAATTCGAGTTGTTTGGATAGTAATGTGCTTACATGGATGATAGGCGTGAAACCCAATATAAATCCCCAAAGACGGAATCGAGCCTTATAAATGGGATGTCTGCACAGACGCCTGTGAATTTCATATATGGATTATATAATAAATGACGGGACTCGTGAAAGGTCCATCAACATGATCGGTCTTTTTAAAGATTTTCTTAGCAATGTCAGGGCCAATTCATTCAGGTGGTATTGAAACATGACATGATCCAGCGTTTTTTTTTAAAGCAACCTAGATGCTGTAGACAATGTAATCATTGGTCTGACAATATTTGATACAATGTTGTTCAATAAAATGTGTATGTATACACCAGAATAACAACAAAAGTCTGGTGTTTTTCAAAGCTACATATCCATAGCCAATAACTTACAAATGATATATATTTCAAAATTTTATCAATAAAAAAAAATCGATAGTCATTCCTTCATTTAGTGCCCAAGAAAGAACTAAACCATATTTTAAAAATATAATAATGTGATGACTTAGTATCATATGGGTTAATTAATTTTCACAGCTATTTGAAAACAGTTTAGTATAAATTTTAAAGGATTTTACTTTTATCCAAATGATTTGTTTTATTTTTGTGCGAAGTCAAAAAACGGAGGTAATAAACTACTCACTTTAGACTCGTGAATAGAGATCGCTATTGTTTTCCTGATAGATAGAATTTTAATAGCCCTCTTTGTTAAGAGCAATTTCACTTACACTTGCCTGCAAATAGCCGATCTAATTCGTGTGTTATCAACCGATAGAAACCACTTTGCTTGCATATATATATATATATATATATATATATATATATATATATATATGCCTGTTTATCCTTAATTAGCAAATAGGGGTGCTCATAAGATCCTTTTAATAGATTTGAACTAAAAGAAATAATAAATAAAAATATCAGGCCTACTTATCTTAATTATCATTTCTTTTTAAAAAATAAAGTAGGTCTACTTACTAAAGAATGACATTGTATGAAAAGGAAAAGTATTTAAAATTAATAATATGAATACAAAAAAAAACATAGAAATAAACATAACACGAGACACCATTACTTCTACAAAGCTTTCATGCTTTACATTCTTTTGACCGACAATAGATTACGAGGTCTTATAGCAGAGATAAAATCAAACTGATTTTCACAAAACACACTAATACACTTACACACATAATATGATGTAGTAATTTGTTTAAATTAAAAAAACTTAAAAAAAAAACCCAAACAGGCATGCAATGAGTATCCTATGTACGTCGTTTGTGTTTGTATATATATATATATATATATATATATATATATATATATATATATATATATACATATATATATATATATATATATGGGGGGGCCTACACATTTTTTTGCGGGGTGGCCTTTTTTCTAGTTCCGCCACTGAATTAATGCAAAATTATTCTAACACATTTTACTCAATATAAAAATAATAATAAAGTCTATCAAATTTACTTTAAAATGGTTTAATTTAACATTTAAAGCCATACCCCCAAAAGCAGAATTTGGGGCAAATATAGCCGGACCTGGGGCATTATCTCCTTGTTTAGTCTAACTCCACACTAAAAACAATTGATTTCTAACCTTAAACTGGTTAATGCTATATACACACACATTAAATAATACCAGTTATCACTAGGCCCCATTGGACCCCTCCACAATTGATACAATTGCAGGTCTACATAGGGCTTACAGTCTAGTAGCTTACAGTAGGCACGTTTATCATTAGTATACCTAGTGTGTAGCTGTCCAGAGTTAACATTCTTGGATGTAAAAAGGGGTGGTGCTAACTAATCTGCCTTAATGCTTTCCCCTGATAAGCCATGTTTGCTATACATTACATAACATGACATGGAGGTGAGAAATGTTGAGGGGAGAGCAGTGGTACTGCTTTCCCCTTTGTTATCCTTGCTGGACCCTGAGGGCCATAAATTACATAAGGAGATGCTATCTCTGGTTGGCTGAGATCTAAGAACTAAGTCCATGTTACCTACAAAGAGATGAAGTTTTATGGTGGGTTAGATACAGGTGGGGGCTGGGTATCATGGAGGTGAGAAATTGTGAGGGGAGAGCAGTGGTACTGATTCCTCTTTGGTCTCCACCCGGCTAGACCATGAAGGTCTTATATTACATAACATGCACCCCAGATTGTCTGAGATCTGTAACTGTAATCCATGTTACCTACAAAGAGATGAAGTTTTATGGTGGGCCAGAAACTGGTGGGGGCTGGGTATCATGGGGGTAAGAAATTGTAAGGGGGGAGCAGTGGTATTAATGTGTCTGTTTACTTCCCTGCTGGACCATGAGGGTCATAAATTACATAACATACCACCCCAGATTGGCTGAGACCTAAGAGCATTTATTCCTGTTACCTACAAAGAGATTAGAAGTTTTATGGTTGGTTAGAAACAGGTGGGGGCTGAGTTGGCTGTATTGCCCCTTAGGGGTAATAAGTATGTGTACAATTTTAAAAATTACCTGGCTAACATCAGATGGCTGAATTTTTACTTTTTAGCAGGTTAGAATTGTATTTATATCATTTAGACACAAATCTGTTTAACAATTAATACATTTTGTGTTAACTATTCTTATACCAGTGTCATATTCAGTGATCTAATAAATGAGAAACTTGCACATAGGGTATCAAGAGTCACATAACAGTATCTGTTATAACTTTTCTGAACAGGCAAGCTAGTAGACAAAATTAATATATTCATGTAGATTTAGTTATTATCTAACAAATAAAACCATTATGGTAATGATCAGTCAAGCTTTACTCTGATAATGATAAAAACTTTATAGCATGGTAAAATGGGACAAATGTCGGCCATTTTGTTTTGGCACCAATAATCACTGTGAAAATAAAATTCACCAAAATAAAACTATTCTAGCCATAGCTATAAAAATAGTGTTACAATGTACAACAACCAATGCTCTAATACGGGAACAAAGAATGGGCTTGAAAAACTCATTTGGTTTATTACAAACGCCCTCCTTTACCCTACATGTCAGAACAAGTAGGCCAAGAGAAAAAGAAGGAAATCTCGTGGTTACTTATAATTTTTAAAAATTCATTTTTCGTTTAACATGTTTATATTAAATTAGCAATAGTGGTAAGTTTGTTATTGGTTTAATTATTACACAGCTTATATAAAGGGTGTTAGGCTCATTTGTTTCTTAAACCTAAGCAAAGCTAGGCAGTATGAGTATGCCTAGTGGGTAATCTATCGTTTTGGGTACGTAAAATCGCCCGCGACTAGTAATGTGAAAAACAGGTGACTCCTTACATTTTAATACTTATTTCACATTTTTGAGGAGGATTTATGTTTTAAAAATACAAAAATGTTTCCTTGTTTCATTTATGTACCTGTTTTTAAACAATTGAATTAAAACTTTTCAGTAATAAATGAAGACTAGCGATGTTTCCAACAGATGCAACCATGCTCATTTACTATAGCAGCCATCTTGTTAAAGTTTTATTTTTATAGACTTAAAGCGCAAGATTCAGGCGGAAGTCACTCTATTTTACAAATGGCTGCTGTTTATATAGCAAACCTTGCTTGTAGACACTGCTGTTTAAAGTTAATTTCTGGCCTATATTGATATATTTAGCCATTGATTTAGGTTTATTATTCATTTATCTAGTTTTATTTGACACAAACATATCACAATATACTTCTATTACAGCCTTGACAATGAGGTAACGTTTTCGTACATTAATAGCCGCGGGCGATTTTACGTACCCAAAACGATAGATTACCGCCTAGTGTTATATATATCTAGTCTATATCTTAATACAAGATGAACTAGAATCTCGTATTGATACCAAAAGCGATTATTCTTGTTTCCTAAATGATAGCTGTGGTTTCTACCAGCTGCAGGTTATGGTATAACTTGAAAACAATACTATAGACACTTCACTTTGATAAATTAAAACAAATAAAAATGGCATACCTTTAACACGTCTCAAAATGGCGGCAACCGTGTAAGCCAGTGTACCGCGAAAAGAGCAGGAGCGAGATGAATACATAATAAAAACACACATTGTAGAAAAGAAATTAAACTGTATTCCCTTAATGTGGGGAACATGTGGGGAAAATTAGAGATAGCATATATTTCAAAATGAAATTTGTTAAGTCAACCAAGAAATAAGCACACACAAATTGAATGCAAAGTTGTGTTACTTTGCCATCATTCAAGTATTATAATAAGACCATTTAACACCACAGTTACATAGCCAAGATCGTCTCATGGGTGGGGGTGAGAGGGGGGGGGGGGGTTCAAATTTTCCCCCTCATTATATTACTAGCCATCGGTACCCGTTACACGGGTAATTCTGGTGACTCTGGGTTGTTGCTCGTAATTTTTAAACTCGACTAATTTCAAATAAAATTATAACACACAAAAAACAGGATCTTTTCCCCGTCACATTGATACCAATTTGTGTCTCTAGCTTAATTAGGAGCTAAGATATGGCCTTTTAAAAAATTGTGGGCGTGGCTAAAACAGCTTAGACCTTCGTGACTCAAGTCAATGTTACGCAAGCAAAAAAATTGGCAGAGATAGTTTTTTTCATTGCATCATCACGCATTCGCCTTTTCCGAAAAATTAAAAAAATATTATAATTTTATTCGCATTTTTTGAAAAACTAAAAAATTATAATCAAGCTTAAAGCCTAAGTTACACTGGACTGGATGTGATTTGACTGAGTAATTACATGCCATTGTCAACCTCATAACATATTGACTTACTTATTACTCCGTGTAAAAAAAAATAATGTAGGTAGACTCCCTATAAATAAAACTAGATCTAGTTTTTGAAAAACGATTTATTAATATTTAAACTGTTACTTCTATTATTAGATAATAGAAATGCATATATTACTGCACACGTTCTTCAATATTATTGTAATGAACGATATTACTTGGGTAGATGAAGTAGAGTAGACCTTGACGTTACTTTCTCAGCCCCCCCCCCACCCCACCTCCTTGTACTTGATAGCAGGAGGCCTTAATAAAATTACAAAACAAAATAAAAAGGAAACAGCTGTCAAAGTGTGTACCAGTGTTTATTTATTACTAGTAAACTATTCAATGTAAATTGTTACCATGTGAGAAACACAGCATACTGACATTTCAATGTTTTCTAAAAGAAATATAATCTGTACACGAGTGAAACAATTTTAAAAAGTGGAACACCATCATGTCACTCGGGCACAGGTGCATAGTGTGACAGCCAATGAATTCACGACTTTCCAAATAACCCGGCGCACTGTGCGCTGAACCATTCAGCCTGTAGTTCTTTATTCTTTTACTGTGTCAAGCTATGGCAGTTGAATAAAGCTTTTTGTCCAAAATAACTATTTCGTTAACATACCCTTCACCCACCCACTCTACAGATGTGCTTAACATCTATTTTATAACGAGATAAGTTTAAAAAAAAACCCCATAAACAGCTTACCTTTCAATTTCAGAGTTTCTTCCAGGCATCTCTTCGCCCCCCTCCCCCCCCCCCGAAGAAAGTCTACCACCCCCCCCCCCCCCCCCGAACGAGATGGATTTTATATAGTAAACATACACTTTTACTAGTGTCCGCCCCCGAAAAATGTTGACGTACCCCCCCCCCCCCCCCGAAAATTTTAAAAGCCCCCGCCCCCCGGAGAAAAAAGTCTGGAAGAAACACTGGCCAATTTAGTTGTGGGAAATGAATGTACTATACAAATATGCTACGTGACAAGTGTGGGAAATGCTGGCTTTATATACAGACAACCCGAAACAGAAACTAAAATACTGATCTGATGAGAAATGTCTAGTGTACATTGGGAGAGGCAGAGGAGGTGGGTATGGGGTTGAATACTAAATGCACGCTGTGTAAAAAATATTTAGCTTTCCGTTCAGTATTTCTTCCAAACTTTTTTCTCCGGGGGGGCACTTGAAATTTTCGAGGGGGCGGTAGACTTTCTTCGGGGGGAGGGGGGAAAACTGTTAGAGGTATTTATTTTCTATATAAAATATATAAATTTCATTTCGTTCGGGGGGGGGGGGGGGGCGGTAGAATTTTTTCGGGGGGGGGGGGGGGGGGGGGGCTTTGCCCCCTCGAAGAGATGCCTAGAAGAAACTCTGTTTCCGTTTTTATTTGGCAAATATAGTTACCTAAAAATTTTTAAAATTAAACAGTAACTAATAATTGCTTTCTTTAAATTGCTTTCAATAAATCTTTTAAATAATCTTTCATATTTTGTAAAAAAAAAAATATCTCTAGCCTAAAAAAATTTCCATAATACAATATTTTAATGTTATGAAGATTATCAGCTAATTAAAGATGTTACTATCATGACTGTCTTATAATGTCTGTAAAACGGTGCTAGCCAAAATCTCCATAGTTACAGCTAAAACATTTGGGAAAACAAAATTAAATGAGAATCTTATAACTGAGCTAATAGATATTAGTACATATACTTATATGCAAATCGTAAGTTATTATGAGGAATTTTCTTTTTGTAGTTTTGTTGTGCTAAACTATGTTAAACTAGCCCTAAAGTTTAAAATATTGCTATCAACGATACTGTCTTATTCTTGTTGAGAGTAAGTCGTGTGTCTAAGAATCTTTGCGATACTGGTAGTTCCCAGAAAAACACGCAACGGGACCATACGCTGAACTAAACGAAATTAGAGCTACACAAAATAAAATGCAAATCATAAGCTGAAATGCGGTATCTTTTTGAGGGTGAAAACATTTACTTTGTAAATTCCAACAATATACTTTATATAAACTATGAAAATATTTTTTTTTAAAATGGAGATTTCCATTGGCGATTGAATAAAGATTTATATCCAAAGTTGCTATTTCATTAACAAACCCTACTCCTAGCCACTACACGGTCGTGCCAAACATCTATGTTATAACGCGATACGTTTAAAAAAACAACAAAATAAAATAGCTTACCTTTCAAGCAAATCTAGTTATGTGCAATGTGTGTACTACATACATATGGTATGTGACTGGTGAGTAAGCTGGCTTTAAATACAGACTATACGAAACTGAAACTAAAATACTGATCTGATGAGAAATGTCAAGTGTACAGTGGGAGAGGCAGGGGAGGCGGGGGTGGTGTTGAATACGTGATGCATGCTGTGTAAAACATATTTTAATATCCGTTTTGATTGGCAAATAAGTTACAGAGGAGATATTAATCATTATGGTATTAAAACCAAAAACAATAAAAATGTATATTAGTTTGTACTGATTTGCGACTATTCACGCAAATAACAAAAAAGACAAAGACTATATATTATATAAATTTTATATATATATATATATATATATATATATATATATATATATATATATATATATATATATATATATATATATATATATATATATATATATATATATATATATACAGTTGCGTAGCGAGGTCGGTTGTCACCCGGTGCGGCACTTAATGGTGTCACCCCCCCCCGAGGCATAAAGACCCTTCCCAGGGACAAACTTTCGAATTTTCGATTTGCACCCCCCCCCTCAAGTTTTCGATATGCACCCCCCCCCCTCAAACTTTCGATTTGCACCCCCCCTCGAGTTTTTCTCTATATATTTTGCTGTTTTTTGCCTTGGTGTCACCCCCCTAAATGGTGTCACCCGGTGCGGTCCGCAACCCCCGCCCCCCCCCCCCCCCTCGCTACGCCCCTGTATATATATATAAAGCATAACGACACTAAGCAAGTCTTAATATTGCGCTACCAACCTAGGTTACTTAATGGAATAAAAAAAATTCCTGGAAAACGAAACTGAAACAAACAGCATGGCCAGGTGTTCCCAACCTTTTTTTTTTACTCTAGAGCACATTCTAAAATATCGGTAGGGTGGCGGGCACCACCTATTTTCAATCGACAAACCCCTTCCATAACTTGTCATTTTCCCATAATTTATTTTCTTTTTTTCATATAGTCATAATGTATTAATAAACAATAAACAAAAATGTTTCAAAATAATAAAATTATTTGGCATTTTTTTCAAATTGCAAACACAAAGAAAAATGTATTTACAAAACGTAAAGAAAGTAAACAAAACACATAAATACAGAGAAAACATTTAATTAATCGGCACCAGTCAAAAATAGTTCCTTAAACAACTCACCATCAATGTAAGGTTTCTTCTTTTTTGCGAGCATGTGAGATATTTTGAAAGAGGCAATAGTTTTCTTTTTAGAATTTTCCACATGTCTAGTGCAAACAGTCTGTTGTGCTGTTAGACTTGATTTTAGATAACAATTTTTTTCTTTCTTACTTCAGATTTAAGAGGATAATTCACATTAAAAGTGCCATAATTTGTCTGAAAGTGTCGTTCAACGGTATGTTTTTTTCGGCACTGCAATGCTACTACCACACAACAAACAAACGATTTATTTTTCAAATTAACGAAACAATATGATTCCTCCCAGTAAGTGTTAAAATTATAAGCTTTTAGCCTGTTAATTTTTTTTATAGAAAACTCCTAATTCGTGTTTCGTGTGACGAACATGTCTCTTATCTAACTGTCGCTACCAGAACAGGGCAGCAATCGCAATGACAACAAACCGGTTCCAGGCGGGGAATGCTTTTTGCACATCACTCCATGTACACACGGAAAACCCGAAGTGAGCCGATCATCGCCGAAGCAATCAGAGTTATGTGGCTTGTGATTTGGCGTCTTCGGCGTTTATCGTATCAGTTCGTGGCGTTCGTTCCATTCGTTCACTTCGGGTTTTCTGCGTGTACAAGGTGTGATGTGCAAATGACACTAGCCGTTACAGGTGCAGTCTGGCTCGCCGCTAGACAAGTTGGGACAAGTATCAAACATATTTAATAAACCTAGGCAGTAAAAAAGTAATTAAAACTGTAACAAATGAATAAAAATAAATCATATTTAAAAATAATGTTTATGA